AAAGAAGAGAAAAACACTTAAACGTTCAAAGTCACGACCATTAAAAAAAACCCCACTGTAACCTATCACAACGGCATACTAGCCCTGATCACAAGCTGCAGTGAATGAACGTGTGGTCCGTGCACTGTGCACAGTTGATTTTTCTTTATACATGTACAGAGTATGAAAAGTACGCAGACGGAGAGTGATTTCAGCAAAGCGTACTTTATTCTATCTGGAACAAGACGACTTTGGCCGACTCTCAGGCCGGCTTATATCCCCCGAGAAACCGCCACCCAAAACACACCCCTACTTCCCTATAGGTTATTTACAGTGGCCGAGAGTCCCATAGGCTCTCACCCGGGAACCTAGCCCCCTGATTGGAGTGGGCTGGGATCCGCATAGTCTCTTGGAGCGAAGCTCGACGTTTGTTTCTGGACTTGTCTGGACTGGATACATTACAGAGTAATTCTCATGTTATGGTCAGTTCGTGTACATCTAAGATTGCCAACCTCCAGGCGGTGGCTGGAGATATCCTGGAATGGCAACTGATCTCTAAGCAAATAGAGACTAGTTCCCCTAGAGATAATGTCTTCTTTGGAAGGTGGAGTCTGTGGCCTTATACCCCACTGAAGTCCCTCCCCCATCCCTTGATCTCCTCAAGCTCCACCCCCCCCCAAAAAAATCTCCAGGTATTTCCCACGTCAGAGCTGGCAACCCAACACACAGCTCAGTGTCTGCTTTTAAACCCCAGGTCCTTCCAAGTGCTGGTCCCTCTTTCTCCTCACAAACAAGACCTGTTCAGGGTGTTCCGTGTGTCCAGCGTCCCGTGTGAACAGGGCTATCGGGGCATGCACCGAGGCTCTGAGGCTGCCTTCTGTGACCTGGTTTCGATTTAGTTTTGAAACATGTGGCCGTGCTGTCCTTCGGGTGTCCTGGGCCTCTCCTCCTGTAAAGCCGCCACCGTGTCGCCTCCTCGAACGTCAGCTGTGGCTTTTGTCTCATGCTGAAGGTCTTGCACAGTCCGGATCCTGGGGCTGCTTCGACGAGTTCAACCGCATTGACTTGCCGGTGCTGTCGGTCGCGGCCCAGCAGATCGCCATTGTTCTGACCTGCAAGAAGGAGCGCAGGAAGAACTTCATTTTTACGGATGGTGATAATGTGGAGATGAATCCAGAATTTGGACTCTTTTTGACAATGGTAAGCACTTTGATATTTGGCACTCCACTGAAACGGCTGGCCTTTGTCACCTGGGTGGATGGAGGGGGTGAAATATGTGCCCTGGTTGAATCTTGCCTGGAAGACACACTCTCTGGCCAGGCGGCTCAGTCCTCCTGCTCAAGGCAGCTTGGAATATATTGAAAGCACAAAGCAATAAACACAACCAGGAAGCAGATTAAAGCGGCATTAGAGCATCATTATATTAAAACTGTTCAATTGTAAATCAGAAAGAAAATTAGCAGCAGAAAAACCAAAGCAAAGCATAAATGGGTCATCGGGACAGTACCACTCCAGGATTGTTCCATCTACAGACTCCCAGTCTGCTTCCAAGCTCAACTCAAGGTGCTGATATTCACCTTTAAAACTCTCAGTGTCTCGTAGCCAACATACCTCAAGGATTTCCTTCTCCATATGAACCTACCTGTCCACTCTGGTCATCTTTGGAGGCCCTGCTTTGGGTGTCCTGGCCATCTGAGCCTAGATGGGTAACAACCCGAGAATGCGCCTTCTTCGTCGTGGTGCCAAAACTTAGGAAGTTGTCCCCAGGAATCAATCAATCTCTCTCTCTCTCTCTCTCTCTCTCTCTCTCTCTCTCTCTCTCTCTCATTGTCTTCCAGCAGCAGATGACGGCTTTTGTTTGGTGTACCTCCGGTGACTCTTATGGGCCCTCTTCCCTGGTTGTGTTGTTATGTGGACTTGTATATTTGTATGTTTTATTGCCATGGCTCAGGATGCCTCAGTTTCATCATATCTTGAAAGCTAAGCAGGGTTGGCCCAGGTTAGTATTCGGGTGGGAGACCACCCAGGACGGCCAGCATTGCTGTGCAGAGGTAGGCAGTGGGGCAAACCACCTCTGACGGTCTCTTGCCTTGAAGACCCTACAGGATCACCATAAGTCAGCTGTGATCTAACAGCACTTTCCATTAAAACCATGTTTTTATTGAAATATATATATATATCTCCTTATTCTATTTTCCAGAGGTTTTTTTTCTGTGCGGATACTTATTTCCACCAACAGGGGGCTCACTCTCATAATGAGCATCCAGTCCATTCAGTCCATCCAGCTCATTAGAACACTTTGTTACAGAGGAGTTCTGACACTTCTTGCTGGGAGAAGGTCTAGTTAAATCATTTAGAGGGGTGGGAATCATGATTAAATTTTGCACTTGGAAGAAGACAGAACTTTCCAGAGGAATCAGTATTCTTTTTTGGTTTAAATGAGGCGCTCACTGATTTACCAGAAAACCTTCTAAAAAGTCTCTGGGTTAGGATGTTCGCTGCCTTGGGGGCCCAGTTGGGTGGAAAGGTGGCATAGAAATTGAAAAGTACGCAGACGGAGAGTGATTTCAGCTAAGCATACTTTATTCGATCAGGAACAAGACGACTTTGGCCGGCTCGCAGGCCGGCTTATATTCCCCATGAAACCGCCACCGAAAACACCCCCACACACACTTCCCAATAGGTTATTTACAGTGGCCGAGAGTTATGTAGGCTCTTGGCCGGGAACCTAGTCCCCTGATTGGTGCGGGCTAGGATCCGCATAGTCCATTGTCTCTTTGAGCAAAGCTCGAAGGTTGTGCTTGACCGCGTGGAGCCCAAGCTGGCCACGCGGTCTGAACTGGATTACAGAAATGTTTTAAATACATAAATATAGAATCCATAAAACGGGTAGTTAAATAAAAGGAAAGTGAAAATGGCCAGGAAAACCAAAGCATATGAAGCATGGCGCCATTCTGATTTTATGGAAAGGGAGAGGAGGCTGTTGCATCTGCTCCATTGTTGTATGTTTTCATAGCCAGTCTTCAGGCGCAGTAGAAGACTGTTTCTGAGGATATGCACGATCTGAGATTCAGATTCTGGAACAGTCAAGGGCTGGTGGATGCCTGGTTCAGGGCAGAGCATTTAACTTGAACCAATTTAATTGCTTACCAGTCAATATCCTCGAGTTGGTTTGTGGAGTGGGACCTTGGAGCCATGCATGAGGTATCATAATTTTAGACCAGGCAGATTCCATTAGTGAAAATAATGCTGTTTATTGCAGCTGAGGTGCTTTTTTGGGTTTAAAATGGCACTTCCCTTGTTCCACTGTATACTATGTTATGTAAGTTTGCCAGTGATGAGACCCGTATGAATGTCCGCTCAATGAATCTCTCTCTCCACTCAGAACCCTGGGTATGCTGGCCGCCAAGAGCTACCCGAAAACCTGAAGATCAACTTCCGTTCAGTGGCAATGATGGTCCCAGATCGACAGATCATCATCCGCGTCAAACTGGCTAGCTGCGGCTTCATTGATAATATTGTGCTTGCAAGGAAATTCTTCACTCTGTACAAGCTCTGCGAAGAACAATTATCCAAACAGGTAAGGGTGGTGCAGTCGTGTCTCATGAAGAGATTCACACCGCCGTTCTCAGCCGACCGACATCCTTCTCAGCTGGTTTGACTAACATTGTCTTAGAGAGGTGTAAATTTGCTTAGTATTGCACTGTCTGTCGGTCAGCTAAAGAACCAGAAATCTTCCTAGATGCTGTAGTCAGCCGTATAAATGCGCCTGATAATGTTGGTAGTGTTATTTAGCACCTGCTGGGTTCAGTCTCTCTCCTGGTCATCTTGATTCATGAGGAAGAACATACATTCAGGGCCATGACTCATTCTTGAGCTGGTAGTGGAGCTTTTTTTATCTATAGGCTGAAGTAAGCAATGTATACTATGGCATTCCCCATGTGTGGCAGAACGTGCCTGCTCTGCCTGCAGGCCCTGTTGCACCTTGCCTTCTTAGGGGATCCCACCTCCCTGGAAGGGCTTTTCTTCCACTCTTGGATAGCCCACCCCCACCCCCACATGCCCTTTTTCAAGGAATTGTCCACTGGGAGGGGCAGGACTCCCAGCATCATTTCCAAGCTATGAGGCCTTGCCTCTGTGTCTCCCACTGCCCAGTGCTGGTGCATCCCTAGAGGAATAGCCACTTGCCAGCTGCCAGCCTTCCTCTTCCTGGTTCTCCTTTTAAAACAGTGTGTCCAAGACGGTGGAGATCCATGTGGTACAGAGAACCACTCCCAGCATCTGAAGTTATAAAGTATCAAAAAGAATATGTTGGGGCAGGACTTCAATCACGTACTGACCAGGAGCCCTTACCAGCTTCTTCCGGACCTCTTGCTCTTAAATTAACTCTAATTTACTATTTCTAAACAAACTTGACTTAAAATACGCTGCCTAAAGCTTTTAAGGGTAAAAAAAATCAAAAGAAAGCCAGGAGAGCTCCTTTGTTAAAGGAATTTTTTGCATCGGCTGAATTCGCCAGTACCTCTTCAGCTTCTTCAGGTGATGGTGACTCTCTCCTCACAACAGAGTTATTATTAGAGGTGTTGGGGAAACAGCTGATGGAAGGGATGGGGGGAGGAGCAGTCAGCAAGTTCGGCTGTAAGGGGCTCGGGAGGGTCTCTGCTTCTGACCTCTGTTATGTTTTGGGGTGCCTGGGATGAAAGCTTCCCCTCAGTTCAAGGCATTTTGGGGGCTCAGGTGGAAGATCCACCCAGCTTCCCACTCACTGGCAGGGGGCATGATCTACCCGGCCCCCCCTCCCTGCCTCGTCCCCCTCCTTAGCGCACCCCGAGCTGCGCCTTCATCAAGCTGAGAAGTTTCCAAACTTCGGAGGGTGGAAAAGCAAAGCGGCCCGGAGGACTGCAGAGCCGGCTTCCTCCTTCCCGCTGCTGCGAGCGAGCCTGTTTGCCTTTCCCCGCCCACTGGCCGCACGACTGCACCTGGGTGGGATCAGGCCTTTTTGGGCTGCGCCTTCTCCTCCCTGGAGCGCCGGCTGGCACCGAGATCTGTGCCCAAACAGATCGGTGCCTGGCACTGGGTGACTCCAAGGGAGTGGACTTTCCATCCGATGGGGACGCCAGCTTCTCGTGTAGTCTCACCCAGGCCCGAGGATCCTCCCTTTACCGCTAGGCTATCTCCCTCAGTCCCGGCTACTCAGGCCCCGTGCGCCAGAATCTAGGGGGTGCACCCTGAACATAGGCAGTCCAACTTGGCCCTGGGGGGAGGGTTAAAGGAAAAAAGATGATGGCCCCAACCCTCCTTTTGCCTCTTACTATGGAGTTTCGACTTCTTAAACGAGGCAGGGAGGGGGGCAGACCTCGGAAGGGCCCAGGGAAGCGGAGGAGGAGGTGGGCAAACAACTTACCTTCCTTCTTCTGCGTCCTCGTGGCACTGACTGAGGTCTGCTGAGAGCAGGGGGCGGGGCTTGGTCATGTGACCACCCCGCCCCCTGTGCTCTTCACTCCCGGAGCTACGTACCGGAGAGCTCCGGCTCCATCCGACCCCTGCTTCCTTATATAGAGACAAACAACTGGTCTAAATGATGTTTTGAAACTGCACTGTGTCACATCATGTATTCATTACTACATGTTATAAGTGAGAGGAGGAACAATTTGATACGTAGTTCCTGTTTTTAGGGCCAGGCCCATGTCCTTCCTTATGTTTAATTTTACCCAGAGACTGATGTCCAATTCTGGACCAATCTCCATTGACATACAATATGCACAAGCCGCTGGAATTACTGATGAAAACACAAGGGTGACTTTTTTCTATTATTAACATAAAATATGAGCTCCTGTAATTTCCCAGCCTAAAAACCTTTGGCCTCTTGTTAGGTGCACTACGATTTCGGGCTCAGGAATATATTGTCTGTGTTGCGGACCTTGGGAGCAGCCAAAAGATCCAACCCGGATGACACGGAGTCCACTATCGTGATGCGGGTCTTGAGAGACATGAATCTTTCCAAGCTGGTAAGCTCTGAGGAGATGCGTCCTATGGCAGCTGAGTCTTGTGGTGTGCTTGCAGAAATGATTAGCATCAAAATGTCAGTGTCTTCTAGGCAGTTTTCCTTTGACTGAACTTCTGCTTCCAGAATTACTTCTGAGGTAAGTCATTGCTGATTCTACTGTTTACTTAAATAAAATGTGGAAGTGGTCTTCCTTGTTCCGCTTCGTTATCTGTTATATCCATTTTCTGTTGATCACCTGGAGTTCTGTCTGAGGCGGATGGGCTATGCCTTTCCCTGCCTGCTCTGGAGCCCCTTCACGGGGCATCATTCGCTGTGTCCTCATCTCCATCCCTCTTGGTTGTCTGAGTGCCGCCTTGTCTCTCCACCTTTTTTCTTCTCCCCCCGTTATACCTGCTATCCAAACCAGTCCTGAAGTTTAGTTTTTACCTATGAAAAGCCCGTCCCCATAGGCATGTTGGTGTGTTTCTGCTGATGCAAGCTGCAGAGCTGCAAGTTGCCGCTCTTGACAACACCTAGGCAATGAATGTACTGGGGGCTGTCTTCCCGTAGCCTCTGGCTCGGCTTCCCAGGGTGGCCAGGGTCCTCAGAATAGCCACCTTCAGTCCTGGTAGCCTTCGACCAGTGGTGCTCGCTGCGCTGTAGGGAGGCATGCAACTTCTGCATTCCCCTGGTGGTGGCTGTTTTGAGGACCCGGCCCCCTTTCCCGAAGGACGGGTGGGGTGGGAGGTGCTGCATGGGGTGATGGGTGCTCAGAAGAGCTGCAGGTGGCATGTCAAAGAATCGCGTGGCTCCTGAGTAAACACTGCTGTCCTAGATCAACCTTCCCTGCCTACTTCATACTCTTCCTTAAATGCTTTTCAGTCATTATCAGTGTAACAGGACTCCTTTGCTACGAGCTTCCAGTCCTGACTTGGGTAGCACTCCCAAGCCCTCTCAGTTCTGTGCGATCCACCACCGTGTTCCTCACCCTGATTGCCTCGGCTGCCTCTTCCTTGCTCTGCCGCCCTCTCTTTCCTATCAGTATTCCCTTCTGCTCCCTCCAGGCTGCTGAGGTGGGAAGCTGTGCTCTGTCTTCTGCCAGCACCGCAGTGGAAAACGCACGTCTGTCTGTCAGTTGAAGCTCTTCTCTCTGTCGTCTGGAATGGTGCCGGATTCCAACAGCGCAGCCTGCCCAGGAATCCTATTGTAAATAAGCATTACTGAATTACAGAAATTAACTGTTCTGTTGCACTTTTTTTTTGTCATTCTTGGTAGATTGATGAAGATGAACCCTTATTCTTGAGTCTGATTGAAGACTTATTCCCCAGCATACAGCTTGACAAAGCCGGCTATCCAGAGCTGGAGGCTGCCATTAGCAAGCAGGTAACGCCACAATGTCTTTTACAAGGCCCCATTTCTGCAGCTTGACAAAGAAACTTGCTGGTGGACTAACCCTTGAAAGGCGGCATCGGTTTCATTTTCTCACTTAAAAGATGCAGTGAGAAAATGAAGTCAGAACAATAGACAAAAATATGAGTGATACAGGGGATTTTTTTACTTTATTTTACAAGTGAATATGCCCAGTATACACAATATATGTACACGAAACAATACAAAAAGTAAATTTTGAAATCCAGAACGTTTATGCTAGGAGAGGAAACAGCCTCTATCTGTGGTAGTGGCGTTTTCCTTTTCCCCTTAGGTAGTTCAGAAAGTGGATTCTAAAAATCTTTGTTATTGGGTTATGAGGTTTGTGTTTCAGTAACAGTCCGAACAGTGAGTCCTCAGCAGTAGCCACTTGTTCAGTGGGAGCTTGTGACGTTCCGCAATTTGGTTGCCTACAAAGGTGACAACCCTTAAAACAATGAACAGTAATGTGGAATCATGAAATATCACTTTTTAGAATAGCAAAGGCAATTCTGATACCATTCTAGTTGAGGATCATCACTTACCGTAAAGGGGTGTTGCTGTTGTTGTTTGAAAGATGACTATTCTAACCTATGGCCATGGTCTGCCGAGTGAATGTAAAATGTTAATGTGTTGAAATATCAAACTGAGAGTTTGTGATGAGTATAGTTTGTGTGCTGGCCCAGACAAACGCAGGTTTACCTTGGGCCAGTCACTCTTCCTAACCTACACACAGGGTTATTGTGAAGATAGAAAGCTATGACTATGCCACCTTGTGCTCCTAGAAGGACATGGTATTTTATGATGTTATGATATTTTATGTGTAATTATTTTAGTTTTAATTGTATTATTTAACTGTTGTACACCACCCTGAGCCCATCTGGGGAGGGCGGTATATACCGTATTTTTTGGACCATAAGACGCACTTTTCCTTCCAAAAAAAGTGGGAGGAAAAGTGAGTGCGTCTTATGGACCGAAGGTTCAGAATATTTTCCCCCCTGTTTTCCTCCTTTAAAAACTAGGTGCGTCTTAAGGTCAGGTGCGTCTTATGGTCTGAAAAATACGGTAAATCCAAATAAATAAATAAGATGTTTTTATAGCTTTCTTAGCCCAGTTCAGCTTCAGTGACAGGTTATATGCCAATAAAGGTCTGTGTCTGTGTATGTGACAGGCAGGTTCAGAGCTCTGTCAGAAAGCTAGAATAACATCATAGAGGCCTAGGCTAGAGCCTTTCCCCTTGATGTGTTATCTTTCTAAATGCAGGGATGTGTTCAATAGGAGGTCACAGTCTCTTCCCCCTCACTTTGATGCAGCACTATACCAACACTCAGCCGTTGAATCCCAGAGCCGGGAGGCAACATCAGGGGAAGGCCTCGGCCTCTCTCTGCCCTGTTGTTGGCCCTCCAGAGGGACTGGCTGGCCCCTGTGTGAGACGGGAGGCTGGACCAGATGGACCCTCACTGGTCTGACCCAGCAGGGCTCTTCTGGTGTTCTTATGAAGGCCTCAGCCTCTTTGCCCTGTTGCTGGTCCTCCAGAGGGACTGGCTGGCCCCTGTGTGAGGCAGGATGCTGGACCAGATGGACCCTCACTGGTCTGACCCAGCAGGGCTCTTCCAATGTTCTTCTTAGGGGAAGGCCTCGGCCTCTCTGCCCTGTTGCTGGTCCTCCAGAGGAACTGGCTGGCCCCTGTGTGAGACGGGAGGCTGGACTGGATGGAGCCTCCCTGGTCTGATCCAGCAGGGCTCTTCTGAGGTTCTTATGAAGGCCTCGGCCTCTCTGCCCTGTAGCTGGCCCTCCAGAGGAACTGGCTGGCCCCTGTGTGAGACGGGAGGCTGGACTGGATGGACCCTCACTGGTCTGACCCAGCAGGGCTCTTCTGAGGTTCTTAATTCATCATGAGGCAGGTTCTTTCACCTTCATTCATACAGTGCATTGGGCTCTGGTCCATGATAGCTGACCCCACAATAACTTTGGAACTAGTCCTAAAGATTCATGTTGGGCTGTTTGTTAACTTGGCCAACAAATCTGGTCCACAAAGCCTGATGATGAAGAAGCAGTGATTTGATTCTTGGTGGTGATCATGACAGGTGGAAGGTGCCGGCTTGATCAACCACCCTCCCTGGAGACTGAAGGTCATCCAGCTGTTTGAAACGCAACGCGTGAGGCACGGCATGATGGCGCTTGGACCAAGTGGGGCAGGGAAGACGACGTGCATCCACACGCTGATGAAAGCCATGACAGGTTTGGAGGGCCAGCAAAATAATGCCCTTTCTATTAGGGCCAAACAGTGTTTAAGAGTTCCACATGATCAAAGGTTTTGACCCCGCGGTTTCCAGCTCCCTGAAACTATTGAACATTTCTCTCTTCCCTCCAGGCTTTCTCCTTTCTTAGTCTTGTCCCCAGTGGTTCCATTCATCACCATCTCCATAACTTTCACTCTGGCAACATCAGAGACACTATGTTGAAAGTTGCCAGATACATTTCTGCAGTTCTGAGACTTCAAAGTATTTAATTGTTATCTTGGAATGTAATTTACTTTTATTCTAATGTACTTGTAATAATTTTAATTTTGCCAATGACCTTTTTGGTTATAAATTGCTTAGCTCAGTGATCCACCAATTTATCCGGTATCAATGTCAGATTGACCAGCCTGTAATTTCCTGGAGTTACATTAGCTACCTTCCAGTCCTCAGGAATGGAGGCAGATTTTAATGAAAGAACAATTGATCTGAAGATGCCATCCTGGGTTTAGGATTCTTATGTGACTATGGAGACATCTCGGGGGGGGGATTTTAAATCATTAATTTGTCTTTCATAGCCTTCATTTAGCTAGTTTTCTTTAATATGTGTGTTATAAGTAATTTTCACAGTTCCAACTACAACCGGTTCAGATTAATGGGATTGAAAAATGTGGATGTTGAAATGTCACCCTGTGGCACGTGAAGTAGTAACAAAATGCTTTTAAAAATCATGACTTCTGCAGATTGTGGACAGCCCCACCGTGAAATGAGGATGAACCCCAAGGCCATCACAGCACCTCAGATGTTTGGACGTCTTGACGTTGCAACAAACGACTGGACAGACGGGGTTTTCTCCACGCTTTGGAGGAAAACGTTGAGGGCTAAGAAAGGTGCTCAGAATGCATCTTTGCTATATGAAGTCTCTGTGCCAAAAGAAGAAACCTCCAGCAGAGAATGTGTTTGCATTTAGGGTGCCTCGAAGCCCCCTGAAGTCCAGGGTTTCTGTCCATCTCTCCCACCAGTTCTTAAAAACCAGTCGACACAGTGATATATCTCAGTGGGCAAGGGGACTCTTGGGAGATTTGTGGGGAAGGAGAGGGAAGAAGCCTTAGACAGGGGCAGGAGTTTCCTTTGAGCAGAACCACCTACGTCAGGCGGCCAGCATTTCCACCCCTTCCTTATCGCTGGGGCTTATTTGGCTGAGTTTGATGATGGCGTCAGGCACACAGAGATGGTTATCGGGCTTGTTTATCGAATGCTGGGCTGAGCAACAGATGTCCTTTCACGTGCCACTAATGTCTGGCAGGTACCTGAGCCGATTCCTACTTGCTGGAAACAGGGCAGAAGGGGCAGGCTGGGCACGTGGGATCCGGCTGGAGAAGGAGCTTCTCTGAAGGAAGCCACTTCCCTCAGCCACTGCCTCTGGGGGTGGACGTGCCTGTCTACCGGACGCGCTTCCAGCCTGCCTTTTCTACAGAGGACTCAGGGCAGTGGATGTCGGTCTCCTCCCCCATCTTATCCTCACTACAACCCTGTGAGGTAGGTTAGGATGAGTTCACGAATTTCTGTTCCAAGGTCATGCAGTGAGTTTCATGCTATATTGGGAACAGGGGAAACTCTCTCCACACCTGCTTGCTTTCTACCTGTTCGACCTGCGTATTTGTAAACAGATACCACGGAACACCACCCATTTTCAGAATTTCCGTCCCTTGGTAGAGCCCTGTACTGCATAGCAATGTATGGAAGCTCCTATTACAACCAATGAAGTTCATTCCTACAGACGATATTGCCTAAATTCGTTTCTGTTTAGAACTTTCCACGTATGTTCAAGTGAGGACTGTTTTTTTCCAGCATGTTGGTGTTTCCTCTGTCAAGCGCAAGGGTCCTGCCACCACGGAGAGGGGATGTTTGCTCTGGGCTTATGGGAAGTGATCATTAGAAACCAAAGAAAGGTGTATGAGAATTTTGTGTCCAGGGCAGTGTTCCCTCTAAGCTGAGTTAGTGTGAGCTAGCTCACAGTTTGTTAGCCTCCGGCTCACACATTTTTGTCTTTGCTCAGGAAGGATGGCTCCGGAGTCAGCTAATTTATGCAGTAGCCAAATCGCTTGCTCGCAACTTTAATGCCAGGAACTCACAAAGTAGAATTTTTGCTCACAAAACTCCACAGCTTAGAGGGAGCATTGGTCCAGGGCATTGTGGTTTTTATTTGTGTGTCCCACCTATTCTCTAAGTACTTCAGTTTCACAGCAACCATTAGGCTGGGCGATAAGGGGGTTGGATTCAGTGGAGGTACTTTCCTCCAAAGGAAGGAGAATCCCCCTGATTCAAGGCTGTCGGAAGACTAGACCCTGCCCAGTGGCTTGTGGAAGGCATCTCGTGGCGCTTCAGGCCTGCAGATTTTGACGTGGGTTTTCCTCAGCCAAGCCTGGGACTCCCCACTTTGCCACACCGGATCTGTCTTGTCATCAGGTTTAACTCTGTGCAAAGATGTCAGAACGTTACAGGTGGTAGCGCAATCTTTGGTATGTTTTAAAATTCCCTTGAATGAAATGTGTTTCCCCCATCGATGGGTCATAGGAGAGCACATCTGGATAGTCCTCGATGGCCCCGTTGACGCAATTTGGATTGAGAACTTGAATTCAGTACTGGACGATAACAAAACATTAACACTTGCAAATGGAGACCGAATCCCTATGGCCCCGAACTGCAAGATCATCTTTGAGCCTCATAATATTGACAACGCATCCCCAGCGACCGTGTCGAGGAATGGAATGGTGTTCATGAGCTCCTCAGTCCTCGGCTGGAGCCCCATTCTTGAGGTAAGGAATGTCTGCATCTCGAGACCTTTCTGCTCACAGTGCCCAGGCCAGTTGCTTTCTGGCCTCTGATCTCTTCCGAAGGCATGCGTAGGAGGAAAAGGGAATACTCACAGCATCTCTCATTTAAATGGCTGTCAAGAACTGCATTATGCATTTTTTAAAAAGGTGGCTCTGCCATTGGCTTTCACAGGGGTTCTTGAGGAAACGATCTCCACAGGAAGTGGAGATTCTGCGCCAGCTGTATACCACGTCGTTCCCAGATGTGTACTGCTTCAGCATCCAGTCCTTGGAATACAAGACAGAGATGCTAGAGGCCTTTGTGATAATGCAGAGCATCAATATGCTGCAGGGCCTTATCCCTTGCAAGGTAAAGCCATTTGTGCTTCTTAAAAATAATCCAGTTTCCTTTCAGTAAAACTTGTTAGACGCAATATCACCCTTGCCCATCTGGCTGTGTCAAGGCAAGATATGCGGACCCTTTATCTGAGCAGGTGTTCAGAACCTCCAGTAATACAATTGTGAACTGGCCCAGGGCAAATGCCTGGTGAAATCATGAAATCAGTCAGGGTAGCAGTGTTTGTTTCATTTGTATAAAATATTTCTCCTCTCTTTTTTTGAAACGATGCTCGCTTCTATGTTTACGTGCCAGTAGCCACTCTGGGAGTAGTGAAATGTCATTCTCTGGCCAAATTTTGGTTTAAAAAGACATGGTAGGTATCACTTGAATGATAAAAATCTATAATAGAATTGCCACTAATGTTTTTATCATCTGTGGTGTGGTATGGGGCTCCCCTTCTTCAGCAGTAGACATTATAATAGCATAATGTTGTATGGGAACCTTGTTTTCTACAAGTCTTTCCTTCTGCTATTTTTTCCTTTCACCCAAAAGATGGGTGGCGTGTTATGAGAGAGGACAGGATCTCTGCTTCTTCTCTGGCCTATTTCAGTTCAAACATTTGAGAGCTGTTTGATCTGTTCCCTTCCTTCTAATGCAAACAACAATATGTGATTGTCTGGTTTAAGGACTCTCCTTCGCCCAGTTTAAAAGTCCTGTCCTGGAATATTTTGGGGTGGGGGAACAAAATCAATGATGCAGGTTTTCATCTTTATCTCAGAAGTTTTGACCTTATTATTTTACAAGAAACTTGGATTGGCTGGTTTATTTGTTAATAATTAAAGAATGCCCACTCATTAGGCACACGTGATCTCATGACTGAAAGTGAAATTGCTTCCATTTTTCAGCCTGATATCTCCACCTGTATGATATTTATGTAGAGGGTTTAGCTTAAATATGTTACCCCCACCAGTGTAGATTTAGGAAGCTGAATTGCTGCCTTCAGTTGCTAGGGGAATTTAGCTAAATGGCAGGCCGCAGCGAGAGGTGGGATATTAGTGAGGGTTTGATTCCCCACTCCTCCACTTGCACCTGCTGGATGACCTTGGGCAAGCCATAGTTCTGGCACAGCTGTCCTTGAAAAAGAGCCGTTTCTGTCAGAGTTCTCTCAGCCCCACCTACCTCACAGGGTACCACCTATGGAATTTTCACTATAGCTTCTAGGGTTCCCAGGTTCTCTTGATTCACCAGTGGTGGGATGGGGGGACACTTCAGGAGCTGGAAACATCACCCCTGACATGCCAACGTCACCAGAAGTAATGTTGTACGCGTGCCTACTTCACTTCCAGGTGGTGTAGGCACATGGGGGGGGCACACTCTGGTTTTTGGGCAAAACTATATGGTAAAATCAACTTCAAATTGTAGAGTTTTGCCCAAAATACAGAACGTCACCTCCCCCCCCATGACACTGACGTGTCCACATCCCTTCTAGGTGACCTGGGGCACGTCGCCCCACATGCTCTTGGGGTGGGGAGGGGTTATCCTCCTGCCGGCCAGCTGTAAAAGTGGGGGATCCCCTGCTGCCAACTGGAGACTGGCAGCCCTAGTAGCTCCCTATGGGCACCTATGGAATTTTGGCCTTTTGTCTTGGAGAAATTAACAGTTAAAGAACTAAACGTCATGGTGTTTTGCCACCCAGGAACAGGGAGGTGAAATAACAGGAGAGTACCTGGAAAGACTATACGTCTTCTCCTTGATGTGGAGTATTGGAGCACTGCTGGAATTAGAAGACCGACGGAAGTTGGAGAACTGGCTCCGTGGCCACAAAACTATCGAACTGGACCTTCCTCACATCCCAGAGGGAAGTGAAGATACTATGTTTGACTACTACGTTACTGGGGATGGTTAGTGAAGCCATTTGCTATGTATTACCAGCTGTCATAGGGGCCACGGTGGCTCAAGTGGTTAAGACGCTGAACTGCAGGCTGTGAAAAGTTGGTAGCTCAGCAGTTTGAAACCCGAGTGCCGCATTGCGGAGTGAGCTCCTGTCTCTGGCCTCAGCTCCTGCCAACCTAGCAGTTCGAAAGCAAGAAATTGCAAGTAGATAAATAGGTACCCTACCTCTTTGGTGGGAAGGTAACAGCATTCCGTATGCCTTAGTGTTTAGTCATGCCGGTCACATGACCACGGAAACGTCTTCGGACAGCGCTGGCTCTTCGGCTTTGAAACGGAGATGAGCACCACCCCCTAGAGTCAGATCTGACTAACTTTCGAGCAAGGGAACCTTTACCTTTACCTTTTACTAACTGTCATATTCAGAATTATTAAGATGAGTTTAATTAAGCAGTTTCTAGTTTATAAACTGGTTATTGGATACTTCCAGCTGCATTTTGCTCCAATGATAGTTTTGTATTTTATTTTGTCTTGCGGCAAAATCGGTATGTGAAACATCTGTGAAGCTTTCTCATTGGATCGGTCCCAAGATACTCTGTTGGGGTGACCACATAGGAAATCTTCCCATGGCTCTGCCCTGCTCTTCTCCGAGCTGCGGGCATGCCTTTCTTCCCCCTGGCATGTGAATGCCCTTCACGCAAAAAGGGTACATAAAAGGGACAACTTAGCCATTTTTTGGATTGTCTGTGACTGATATTAAAGACTCACCTGCTTCTCTGATTTTGTTTATTCAGATGGGAAAAAGCATTCAGAAATTTCTACATAGTTTTCCTACAGTAGCTCCAAGCTATAAAGTAGTTATGTAACATCAGAGAAGCCAGTGTTGGTAACATCTTAGATATAACAAAGACAAAAACGGAACCCCCAATTCTGTATGTTTTTATCTGTTTGCTTGTTTGTGTTAGTTTGTTTGTTGTAAAATAAAAAATTATATAAAAAAGGAAGCCAATGTTGACTCATCTAGTCCAACACTCTGTCACACAGTGGCCAAAAATACCAGGTGCCATCAGGAGGTCCACCAGTGTGGCCAGGACACTAGAAGCCCTCCCATTTTTGCCCCCCCCCCCAAGCACCAAGAATACAGAGCATCACTTGCCCCAGCCTGAGAGTTCCTATCTATCCCTTGTGGCTAATAGCCACTGATGGATCTTTGCTCCAGATGGTTATCCAATTCCCCCTTGAAGCCATCCATGCTTGTAGCTGCCACCACCTCCTGTGGCAGTGAATTCCATGTGTTCATCACTCTTTGGGTGAAGAAGGCTTTTGAAATATAAGGCTTTTGGTGAAGGGGAATAATTTCATTTTGTTTTGGCTAGGCAAATGGATGCATTGGAACACTCGCATTGAAGAGTATGTGTACCCTACTGACAGCACCCCAGAGTACAGCTCCATCCTAGTGCCCAATGTTGACAATGTGAGAACGGACTTCCTTATCCACACAATTGCAAAGCAAGGCAAGGTAATGTAATAAGACATTTTATATCGGCGTGCGAGTTGTGCTTCTTGGTTAATTGATGGGGTTACCTTCAAAATACAGCTACTATAGCACCTCCCATTTTCTAGTACTTTACAACTGTTATATTTTCTCTGTGCCGTAAGCTTACAAGGTCAGACAAGTTTCAAGTACTCATCACTTCCAAGTAATCTTTGTGGGTCAGCAGGGTTTCAGTGTGGGTCTTTGACATCCAAATCTAGCACTGTCTAGCATCACTGACTCCAGTTTTTTTTTAAATTGTGCATTTTAAAATTTTGTCTACGCCTTACTGCTCTCTTTGACGTGCTGCCTTCTCATCCCCCTCCTTTCTTACCCCCCAGTACTATTGCTACCTCCTACTGCGGTGGCTCAAGTGGTTAAGATGCTGAGCTGCAGGCTGTGGAAGGTCAGTAGTTCAGCAGTTCCAAACCCGAGTTGCCGCATGACGGAGTGAGCTCCCGTCTCTAGTTCCAGCTCCTGCCAACCTGGCAGTTCGAAAGCAAGAAATTGCAAGTAGATCAATAGGTACCACTTCAGTGGGAAGGTAACAGCGTTCCGTGCGCCTCTGCATTTAGTCATGCCGGCCACATGACCACGGAAACGTCTTCGGACAGCGCTGGCTCTTCGGCTTTGAAACGGAGATGAGCACCGCAACCCGAGAGTCGGACTCGACTGGCTTTTGAGCAAGGGAACCTTTACCTTTACCTTTACTTGCCTAGACAAGTTGGAGTAGTTTCACCAATAAGGGCCAGAGAACCTTATGTCTGTCTCCTCCCTCTTGACATTAGTATATCTACAACATGCTCTTTTGCAGAACTTCTCATGAGAATTTTGAGGTTCTTTATCACTGGGAATATTTTTCTGTTGCCCCAGAAGGTCATACCAGAACCAACGGGTTGAAATTAAATCAAAAGAGTTTTCGGCTAAAGATTAGGAAGAACGTCCTGACAGTTAGAGCAGTTCCTCGGGAGGTGGTGGGCTTTCCTTCTTGGGAGGTTTACATCACAATATAGACTTTACCTTTATACAAGTGAGCATTTCTGTGATATGTATTTCATAAACTGCTGGAATAAATAATGATTAAAAGGGAATATGGCAGAAAGGGGTGAGTAATTAGGTGGGAAGCTAAGCTGTTTATAAATTGTAGTAAATTCATGCCACTGGTGGATATTTATTTGGGAAAACAAGTATATAATAGTAGTTGCAATCAGTGTTCCCTCTAAGCTGAGCTAGTGTGAGCCAGCTCACAGTTTTTTAGCCTCCGGCTCACACATTTTTGTCTCAGCTCAGGAAGGAGGGCTCCGGAGCAAACTAACTGATGCAGTGGCCAAATCGCTCGCTCACAACTTTAATGCCAGTAGCTCACAAAGTAGAATTTTTGCTCACAAAACTCCGCAGCTTAGAGGGAACATTGGTTGCAATAAGATATTGACAAAGGATGTTGAAAATATATGGATACGAATTCTTCAGAGTAATGAAAAAGGATATTTAGTGGTTAATGACCATCTGAGACGACGTGAGAACCTTATCAAAAAATGTTGACTTTAAATTGTGAAGGTTAATTGGAATATATTTAGTTAAATCTTAAAAGAAGGTCTTTATGGAAAAAAGAAGCGTGCTCAGTTGCAATATTGTCTAGAACTAGTTGTATCGCTGTATACAGGAAACATTGTTTATGTTAATGTTTATGTTTGTTTTTGTCTTTGTGTTTACGTGTGTGTCTATTATTTCTAAAAATTAAATAAAAATATTTTTAGAAACCACAATATAGACTTTACCAGGAGAATTAACTTCTATTATGTTTACTGCCTCACAAAGCCACACCAAATTGCTGGAGTACTAAATGCTGCAAGTAGCAATCGCATTTCTCGTGAAAGTTATGTTTTGACTTCTCTGTTGCTTCAAATGAGTATTTTTTTAAAAAACACACCTGAACCTTTGCCAATATTCTTTGCTTGCATATCCTCCCCAGACTCCATTGAATTCCCTTCCCTTTTTCAGGCAGTGTTGCTAATTGGTGAACAAGGGACTGCAAAGACTGTCATCATCAAAGGCTATGTGTCAAAATATAATCCTGAAAGCCACATGGCCAAGAGTCTAAACTTCTCATCGGCAACAACACCTCTCATGTTTCAGGTATTTACAATTCTTTTTCTCTCAAATGATAGTGAAACTTGCCTTTTAGTACTCTGGGAATATGCTGAAAGAGATTATTCAAAGACACTTAGCAAGATGATATATTTTTTGCCATATTTTCATAGCCAACTATCTTATTCCTGGTATTTCAAACAAAAAAGCAGGATATAAACATCTAAACAGGTAAGTTTATTACTACCATCTTGACTTAAAAGGAGGCATCCATGAATGTAAGATCACCCTCCCCCCCCCAAAAAAAAATGTTATATGCCAAAAAAAATTGTACTGGACATAACTAACTTTTATGCAAATATAAGATTTCTTCTTCTTTTTCTTCTTCTTTGGCATACCTGAAAAAAAAACCACCCTAGTTTTGCACTGGATCGGTTCTCTCCTCAGTTGGTTCAATTACTCAGTCTTGACCCTCAAGCCAAATGTATGAACTATTAACGGCTGAAAAGTGTCTCAATCAACTCTGAGTGATAAAAAAATTCAGTGGGTGTTACTCTGATGGCTGCATCAGACAAGAAAGTCATCACTTGCTCCTCTCCCTCTCTGAAGATGCTGTGGGGGGGGGGCTGGGAGAGAAGAGTATCACCGCACGAGGAAGAGGCTGCAAGAGTTGCACTTGTTTATGTCCATGTTCAGGATCTCAAAGGACAGAAAGGGAAAAGGGGAAAAAAACCTGAACCTAAAACTTAGAATTCAGAACCTAAAAAGGTTAGTCAAGGATAGAAGAGGGCCAACTCTAAAAATCATACAAAAATATACATATATTTATTACACACAAATTAAAATAACAAAGAAGGGCCCATTCATACCTCACAAACAAATATATATATACAAACATACAAGGGCTAATGAAGTAGACCTAACGTGTTTCGGCCTTTACAGGCCTTCCTCAGAGGTCTAATACATATAGAACATATAGGCTGATATATAAAAATATAGGAAATCATACATATCCAAAATATGCAATAAAGACCAGAGATCAATTGTTCCAAAGTATAGCCACTGGGCAAGGAAGAGAAATACAAAAATACAAATGAAACCTCCAGTGTAATCACATGTCCAGTAGCCCTTCTCTCTGGTCTACTATATATTCTTCTAGGATTGTACAGCCAACTGTTCCCAATGAAGGTTCCTTAAGTTAAAAGCATGTTCAGGATCTCTACAACACGTAATACACATCAGGGCAACTATTTTTCCAAGAAAATGAGAACTTAGTGAGGCTTTGGGTGCGGCCAGACATGCCTTTAGATCCAACTCAGCTGCGAATGCCTGGCAGATCTAAAGGGCACGATCAGACAGCAGCATCTGGGAAAGGTCCTGCAGCCGTTGGCAACCTGTGCTGCTCTACCACAGAAGCCGAGTTAAAAGACACCGGGGGAAAGTCTAGTTCTAACTGGTTCCGACGGGCCACGGACAGACTTTCCAGTGTCTGATTGCGCAAGCACACTCAAGCTGTTGGGATGGGCTGTCCAGTCCATAACGACTCAGCTTCATTTTTTTGCTCGCTTAATGGTATGCGCATAACCACATAAGTGATCCATAGTCACTGTCAGACTCGGGCATGAAGGGGGGTTCATTGCTGATGTATTGCTAATGCCAGTTTCACTTTTGTATCCTTGCTTGCCCGGGACATCTGCCTTCTGTCTCTGTGTGCTATCTTATGCCCTCGCTGACATGAGATTCCTAAGGGAGGGAGGGGAGAGAGTGTGAAAGAGCAATTGTTGTAGCATTAGGGCTGCGCCACCATAACTGTAACTCTTCTTGAAGCCTCAGCCCCCAAGGAGCAACTGGGTTTTCTCACAGGAGTAACCTTGGGTGAAGATAAGACTTTGAGAATGGCTAGTCGGTTACATATCTATCAGAACTGGTAGTAGGCTGGTGTGTATGACGTATGCGTGGAATGTGGGCATTCACCTTTACTTTCCATCTCCCGCCCTGGACTCGCCAGTCCTAACAAGGGCGTTCATCTCTACGGTTAACCAAATCTTTCCAATAAACCTTTTAAGTGATATTGGCTGAAGAGTGGTTTTACTGGGAGCCTGACAGTCACAGACTGCCATGGGAGTTAGATTCCTCATTTATGCACATGCGGGAAAAAGGCAACCCCACCCCACTTGCTCGAATTTGCCATCTGATCAGGCAGTGATGGGCTGAGCCTGCAACACCAAGGGATGTGTGATACGCGACTCCATTTCAATTTCCACCGGAGGAAATAGGATCACTTCCCTTCTGCACCAAATGGCATGTCTGACCACAGCCTGAGTGGTAGCTGCAGCCATTTTATTAAATCGAATATACATGTCTAGAAAATTATTGGAGTTGAACCCTCCTGGAGATTTTCTGAATATAGTAATGCCCAAGCATCTTGGAAGAGACTTGAAACATTAGGCACTGGCTGAAAGTGTTCCTCTTAAAGTGGTATGAACAAGGAAGAGATGGTGTCTCACAAGGATACATCAGTGAGAACACAAAGCAGCCTACCGCATCTTTGTCTCCTCCATCATTTTATCCACACTAAAAACAACTCTGTGAGGTACGTTAGGCTGAGAGAGGGTGGCTGGCCCAAAGTGAGCCAATGGACTTCCATGATAGGGTCAGGATTTAAACTTGGGTCTCCCAAAAGGTCATCCAACACTCTCACCAGTCAGCTGACTTACTAAATGCCTTCAGTATGACGAGTCAGTGTTGTGGAAGACCGTTTCCTTGGTCTGTGGCTACAACTGCACAGCATTCTATTTGGCAATTAAGTTCCTACTGTGTACACAGCGTAAGAAATCTGTTAGCATTGTAGCATTGTGTTTAGAACTGTTATGCCCATTATAAATACAAGCTGCTCCACTTTTTACTTAAAATACTTTAGTGGTGTTTGTATATTGGCAGGCATAAATACACATCTATGCACACAGACTATTGCAAGTTTGTTTATCAGCTTCTCATTGGGGAGCCAGGATTGGCTGTGGATTCCTGTTGAGTGCCCACTTGCAGCCATAGCCAGGCTTACCAGCATGCATGTGCAAAAAAGGCCCTAAGACAGGAACACAACAATCCATTGTTAAAGGAGAGAGTAATACTTGACCATGCTGAATGGGTGTCCAAAGTGAATTGTGTAAGTCAGGTCAGGAAGTCACACACAGAATTATTTTGTTACTGGGTTATATTTGGAGCTCTTCCTAAAGGGGAGTTTTTAAATGATATGGGCTCAGATATGGCACCACTCATGACATTGGCCTAGAGGTTGGCTAAAACCACACGATGCCCTTCCGTTGCTGAATTAGAAAAGGTCTGGCTCAGTGGATGACATGGGAGTTGATGGTAAGCTGTTCTGATGCATTTACTAATTTTAATTTATTTTGTGTATCCCACCCTTCGTCCAAGGAGTTTGGCTCTTCCTTTTTCCATTTTATCCTCACAACAACCCTGTGAGGTAGGTGAGGCTGAGAGAGAAGGACTAACCCAGTAAGAGGGGATTTGAACTCACCAGTCCTACTACCAGTCCTACTCCAGTGGGCCCCTCACTGGCTCTGCAAATTCCTTGGAGATAAAAATGGGATTTGTGCACGTTTATCTGTACTTGTGTTGTCAGTTTTAGTCCTGATTGGGGCATTCAGATTTGTGTGAAATACACATCTATCGTGTTTGAAGACATGAGTGAAATTGCAGTACTTGACGAGTGCACTGTGACTGCCAAGGTTGGTGTTTATTAGATTTTATTTTTTGGTCACCTGTGCATTTCTCTTACAGCGCACAATAGAAAGTTATGTGGACAAGCGCATGGGCACAACCTATGGCCCTCCTGCAGGAAAGAAAATGACTGTATTTGTTGATGATGTGAATATGCCTATAATCAACGAGTGGGGAGACCAGGTCAGCCTACGTGAATCAAAACTTTGTGTTTTCCCTCTGTAGTAGTGTCACAAGATAATCTCCTGGGCATTGCTGGCTGTGATCATGGTCATGGAATCTGAAGACTGAGCTAGTTAAATATTTAGACTTAATGAGCTGAAAAAGACCCATCTGTTTCCCTGTTCAAAGCCATGAACATGCAATGACTGCAAAGAGGGGAAATGGTAAAAAACAACCATTAACTCATAAAACTGTCAGAGACACATTCAACGAGGAAGGGCTTGAGTTACCCAGTCTTCTTTATATCTGGGATCGGATTAATCCAGCCGATCCCAGGGAGATGGTAGAAACCCTGAATTGGTGCCTGGAAGCAATTTTCGAGTGGACATGGTGGGCCAATCAACTTAAGCTTAATCCCAACGCAACTGAAGTGCTACTGGTGGGTGGAAGGGTCTGAACCTGGTATTTAAGATGCCACCTGTTCTGGATGCACGCCACTTGAAGGAACAGGTCCAAAGTCTCGGGCTGCTCTTGAACCCAGGCCTACGGCCATACACTGAGGCGGGATGTTGATTGGAGTGGGTCATAGGGACCATATCACTCCAATCCTGGCCTGTCTGCACTGGCTTCCAATCTATTTCTGGGCCAGGAGGTGCTGGTGTTGACCTTTAAAGCCCTATACGTTTTCGACCAACATCCCTGAAGGACTGCCTACTCCCTTATGAACCTCCCAACCACTGCAGTCCTCTTCCGAGGCCCTGCTTTGGGCGCTCCTGTCTTTTGAGATCAGGCGGGTGGCAACCTGAAAGAGCCCCGACCCGAGTGGCCAAGGCTAGCCTGATCTCATCAGATCCCTGGAGCTAAGCCTGGTTTGCCCCAGGTAGTGCTTGGATGAGAGGTCACCACGGAGGGTCCAGGGCGCGACACAGAGGCAGGCAATGGCAAAGCCACCTCTGAAGGTCTCTTGCCTTGAAAGCCCCATTGGGGGTGGCCATAAGTCAGCCGCACTTTCCACCACCAACCTGGGGAAGGGCCTTTTCTGTTGTGGCAGCAAAACTCTGGGAGTCTCTCTCTCCAGGAAGGCTTTTTTGTCTCTTTCTCTTACCGTCTTCTGCCAACTCTTCTTTTTGCCCAATGTTCCAATTATTGTTTTAATGTTTTTTATGGTGTGTGTTTTGTTGGTTTTAATGCTTTTTTAAGATGTTATTTTCTCATGTATGTTTTAATGTGTTAGCTGCCTTGTTGGCCGTGATGGTGACAAAAAGGCAGAGTATAGTTTTTTAAATAAATACATCATGACTAAAGGAGCAGCGTTTGTGGGGATGACACAGTGTTGATTGCGTGAGAAAACTAGACCGGTCAGCAGTGTCTGCCAAATCCGAACTAAAATTACTTAGCAGAAGACACCCTCTATATGCACTAACTTTTTATTAAAAGCAAAAACAAAAATCCCCTCTGGGATGCTTCAGTATGTTGAACCATAAGAGTGTAAGATTTCATAGAAGCCATCGTGGCCTAAGAAAAAAGTGCGAACAAAATGGCTCCCTGTGCATGGAGCTGCACCACCACACCCGAAACCACCCCACTAAACCTGCCGAGTAAAGGAAAAGGCAAGTCCAAGCCAGGAAGAGAAATAAGGCTCCCACAGTAAGACCCAACCGAGTAAGTAAACAAGAAAGGGAAGGAGTGAGAGGGGAGGAGAAAATCGGGGGGGGGGGAGTGGTCAGAGTAACTGGGAAAGCGAAGTCGGTGAAAGGGAGCAAACTAATCTCGACCCTCACTCCGATACCCAAACCAGCTCCCACGGAACCATAACATCCCTGAGAGCAAACCAAATCCGACGCAGGAAAATGCTTAGGCCCCAACTGGTAGAGCAGGAGTGACGATTCTCCTTGTCGACAGATTGCAAACAGACTGCCCCGTTCGTTGGGAATCACCCAGCACGGGCCTCTCTCCTCCCATGCATGCAAAAGAGGCCCTCCATCCCTTGGCCTGCTGTTTGTTAGGACCGTATTCCATCTCTCTATTACTTTGGTCATTATCGGTGTTGTCACAAATGCCTTATTTGTTTTTAAGACCATTGGCTTTAGGTTTTTAACTTAAAGGATTTCTGTCAACAGGTCACCAATGAGATAGTGAGGCAGCTTATGGAGCAAAATGGATTCTACAACCTGGAAAAACCCGGGGAGTTCACCAACATTGTGGATATCCAGTTCCTGGCTGCCATGATCCACCCAGGAGGAGGACGCAACGATATCCCCCAGAGACTGAAGAGGCAATTCTCTGTATTTAACTGCACTCTGCCTTCTAATTCTTCTATCGACAAGATTTTTGGTAAGGTCACTCATGCGTGAGCCACTCTGAGTTTGTTTTCCTTTGAGGAAGGATTATTTGATGAAGGACAATTCAGGGTTACCCTGCATTAATGACCCTTGTCCAGTTGAGTGGGGGATTTAAAAGTGTTGTTTTTGCCTTGATTTATCTTCTTTTCTTACAGTTTTATGATGTTGCTACTGGCTGGGTCTTCTGAGGGTGTTTGCTTCCCAGGGACTAATCAGCCTGCATAATCTTTGTTTGTGATTGTCTGGATTGCATAGCTGAACTGGAGGCGGCAGGGCTGTTTTGCTTTCCCCCCTATTTGTTAAACTGTCAGACATGACTTCCGCAGGTGTGATTGGTGTGGGACATTATTGTAGCCAGAGGGGCTTCTCAGAAGAGGTGAGAGGAATCGTTTCCAAACTGGTTCCATTGACCCGCCAGCTGTGGCAGATGACCAAGGTCAAGATGCTGCCCACACCGGCCAAATTCCATTACATCTTCAACCTCCGGGACCTTTCTAGGATTTGGCAAGGGATGCTGAATACTACCTCTGAAGTGATCAGTGACTCTCCTGTAAGTAGATCAAGATGGGCGGCCTCGTTAGTCTGTCTGTAGCAGCAGAAAAGAGCAAGAGTCCAGGAGCACCATAAAGACTAACAAAATATGTGACAGCAGATGAGCTATCGTGAGTCACTGCGCACTTTGTGAGCAGTGACTCATGGAAGTGCATACCCTGCCTTGCTCTTGCTCTTTTCTCCTGTAAGTGGTGCAAACAGAGCCCTCATATACTGGCCTCTTTGTCATCTTTGATATACAAAGCAGACATTTTTACTCTGTATCTGTCAACAATAAGCTGAAATTTCATGTGAGCTATCAGAAAGCATTTCATGGATCAGGAAGACCTCCTCAACGAATATCCATCTGCCCCTTTCTATCACTGTTGCCCCCGTGGGTGAAGAATTTTGGGGGGATTTTTTGTCTCGTGTGTTCCCTCAGTGGACCTCTCCTTTCTTGCCTGAACTGTGGGGTCTGTGTTCTTATGTATGTAATTTACTTTTGGTTTCAACTGGTTTTTAGAATGGCCCTGAGTGGGCAGAATAGCAGGATATAAATTCTGTAAATAAACATATAATTGGACAAAGTTTGAGTCCAGCGGCACCTTTAAGACCAACAAATTTAATTCTGGGTATATTTTCTGAGTCTTTTTGACATCGAGTTATTCTCCCACCATTTATACATCCTTGACCATCTTTTTTGAAATAGATCATCATTTTCCCCCTGAATTAACATTGTCAGTTTATCTATTTCAGCAGTTTCTAGCAGTTTCAAAGCTATTTCTTGTTTTTTCTTCTTTGTTTTGTTCTTTTAATTCTCTTATCATTGAAGCTGTAATCCAGGCCATATCTATCCTAGACCAGGACTTATGTCTAGATGAATAAAAAGTTATAGTTTTTCCCAACAATATTTCTTGTTCTCCAAGCGTCTATCAATGAGTATTCCTCTGCTGTTTGTAAAAAAATTTTGGGTAAGGTATTGCCTGTTTTGGTGTTTCCCCCCTGGCTTTTCCTGTCAATTTTGGGAGCAAAAACTGCATTCTCCTTAGTCAAAATATTCTGTATTTCTATAAAGATTTTTCTTGATTTTGATTGGGGGCGTATATGTTTATTATTATCATCCCCCCCTTCTCATTATTGAAACGGCTAGTATTCTTCAGTCTTTTGATCTATAGAGTAGTTCCGGGTGCAAAAGTTCTTTCACGTATATAGCTACCCCTCTTTTTTTCTTTTCCTCCACCACAATAAATAAATCCCCTATTTTTCTGTTAATCAGATGTTTTGTATCTTTTTTCTTGATATGAGTTTCTTGGAAACATGTTATATCTGGGTGGTATTTTATTATTTGTTGGAAGATTCTTCTTTTTGGGGGGTTGTTGAGTCCATTAACATTAATTGATAATATATTCAGTTGTCTATTTGCCATTGTCAGTATTTATATTTCTTGTGGCCTTATTCCTATATTGAAATCTGGTAGTTATTCTTTTAGATCCAACTCCTGTTTTGCATGTTACTTTCTTGAGTTTCCAATTTTTTGCATCTGGCCCTTTCCTTCTGACTCTGCTCCTTCCTATTCTTCCTCATCTTCTTCTTCCTCTCCCTCTTTCCCTTCTTCTTGTTGCCATCCTAAACCTTCTCCATATTTCTCCAAAAATGTTTCCACCTTAAAGACTGAATATATTCTTTGTCTTCTATCTTTATAATTAAATAGTAGCCCTTCTGGTATTAGCCACCTGTAAGGTATATTGTTTTCTCTGAAGAGATTTGTCAATATGATGTAATTCTGCCTTTTCTCCCTCACTCTCCAAGGCACTTCCTTTAAGAATTTTATCTGTTTCTTTAATCATCATTCTGTTTTCATTAGAAGCTTTTAATATTTTATCTCTAATTTCTCTCTTATGGAATTTTATATGGACCTCCCTTGGTATCCTATTCCTTTTCGCATACGCCGAATTTCTTCTGTATACGGTGTCCATCTCTGCGAGCAGTTCATCTTTAGATCCTATTTTTAGTTGATCCACTATGGTACTTAGCTTTGTAGTAGTTTCCCACTGTAGACTCCTTTCAGTTCTTCTGAGCTTGGCTAGTGCGCATACCAACATTGTGTCAGGCGTCCAAAAAGATTTGTGCTTGGAACGGACCTAGGAAGGTAGAAGAGTCACCACTCTTTCTACACCTGGCTAAAGTTCCTTGCTAAGTCTCTCCCTCCAAGAGAGAACTTTAGGCTGCTGGAATGCCTAAAAAAACCTTTTGGAATAACAGAGTGTGCGGAGCTCCTCCGCGCACGTCTATTCTTGTCAAGCCGGAACCGGATCCTCTCCCAGACATGGCACTTCTGAAAATGTTCACACACAAATGTTTGCTATTGCTGGCTATGCGCTGTAACAATAAAATTCATTCATTCACAAATGTTTGCATAGACATTGTACCAACACAGGGCCAATGAGCATGCTCTTAAACATTGGGAGGGAATTTGTGCCCTTTTGATATTATTTTCCTGACTTTTGTCACGTTTACTCTGTGAACTCCCTTCACAATCAGGTCTCTGAGAGGCAGTACGTACATTTTCTGAAGAAATAAATGACAAGTTCAGGGTCTGTTTTCTCCTGTTTATGCAGGTGCTCATAAAACTGTGGAAGCATGAATGCAAGCGGGTGGTTGCAGATCGTTTCACAACTCCTGAGGACGTGGGGTGGTTTGATCTGGCTCTAGCAAAGCTCGCTGAAGGGGCGTTTGGTGGAGATAAAAAAGCCCTGGTGGAGCCTGGTGTGGATGCTCATTTCGTTGACTTCTTAAGAGACGCTCCTGAAGCAACAGGTGAAGAAAACTGAAATCCTGTTGTCTAATGCAAAATTAATTACTTCAGTAACCAACAGACCAGAAAGGTAGGCGCCGTGAGGGGTGTGGAAGGACTTGGCATTGTGCCAGAAGCAGTAGAAAGAAGCGGGGATTCGAGATGCTTCAGAGTTAGCACTGGAAGAAGCCACGGTGGAAGGACTTCGCATACGCTGGCTTGAAGAATGTTACACACCGTTGCGAAAATGGTTGCCTCAAGGAGGTTGCTTACGGTGGCTATTCCAGAAGGGATCCAAGAATGGGCAGTGAGAGAAAACCACTGGCTGCTGGCACTCCTCTTGCTCCCGGCCAGTGGTGGCACGGAGGAGGTTGCAGGCGTGGCTTGTGCCCGTTGTCCCCTCTTGAACCCAGGTCCCAAACTGTATGTGCCCCCCGCGGTGCTCCTTGGGGTGGCAAAATAGTTTGCGCTGGCCCTGCAGCCCCATCTTGAAAACCATGCATGAAGTGGGGAGGGCTGGGCGTCTGCTTTTAACATCACACGTTTGACTGTTGTCAGATTCTAAGCCTACCTGTGCATTCGGGTAAAGCGAGGGGAACCATTTTAAATAAAACATTGGAAGACTTGTGTGGGGATGGGCAACAGGACCCTGCCCTACATTCCTTCCGGTCTGGCTCACTTCCCATTTCGGAGCCTGACTGGGAGAAGACACAGCGCTGCTCTGTACTAGTGGACCCTTTTGGCCTCTCGAGGTCCACGATGTCTACTCTGCCTGGCAGCCGCTTTACCCTACCCAGAGAGCTCTGAACTTCCAGGGAAAAGGTCAGCGGAAGGTTCAGCTCCCCTCATCCGCTTGAGACTGAAGGATGAGATCCTCCTATCCTTCTGCTTTATGCAGCAATTGCCTTGTCTAACTTGAGGCTAAAACAACACATTAAATGTGATTTTAAAAAAAATGCAAAGCTAGCGGGAACAGGCTGCATTTGGGTAGAAGGAAAAAAGCTTGTCCACCCCTTCCCATGGCATGAGAGGATGAGTGTCCTCATACTTTACCTGTAATCTGATTGAGGAGACTGTTTTTGAGGGGGGGAAAGAACAGGCGGGAGAAGGTTTTAAACTCTCTCTTCTTGTGTGTGTATAAAGTGCTGTCAAGGCACCACTGGCAAAAGACTAACGGAGGCGGTTTTTCCTTGCCTGACTCTGCACAGGGGCCCTGGGCTTCCTCGGTGGTCTCCCACCCAAGTACTAGCCAGGGCTGACCCTGCTTAGCTTGTGAGATCTGACAGGATAAGAACATAAGAGATGCCAATGTTGGATCAGGCCAAAGGCCCATCCAGTCCAACACTCTGTGTCACACAGTGGCCAGAAATACCAGTGCCATCAGGAGGTCCACCAGTGGGGCCAGGACATTAGAAGCCCTCCCACTGTTGACCGGGAGGATTGGGAGCGTCTCCTCCCACCAGCCCTTATTTCTCTCAGATGTGCCTTCCTTGTGTTGCCTGAGGTTTTCTTTTTAAAGGGGGGGGGAATGGAGCCCCACCTACTGTGTAACTCTGGGACTTGTTTCTCTACCCAACAGAGCTGTAGTCAAATAGTGGTGAGCATTTCATGTGTAGAGTGTGCTTTATGTTGCTTGGAAATTCTCATTTGCTGTATGATGAGCAGAATTGAAGCACCCTAAATTGCTTGTTGGGAAAAGAATACCCCTTTTTCCCCCTTAAAAGAAATGCATTTTATTTCCAACCAGGTCCGGAGGGAAAAAAACATTGGGAAGGTAAGCTGTAGGGGTCCGAGCCAGCCAGATGTTTCTAAAGCGCTTGAGCTCCACACCCAACTGTGCATGTTTTAGCTCCACAGAACTCGACACGCCTCAGCATGGCTAGCTGGTCACAAGATTTGTGGCCTTTGTTTTTGGCTTTTGAACGGCTATTGTTTAGTCAGGAGTAAACTAGGCAAGTAGCCCGCATGGCTGAAAGAAGCTTCATCTTGACGGCTGACCTTGTGGCCTGGCAGTGCTGCAATGAAACATTGATATACTATCTTAGCCATTGTAACTTCACTGAACTAACTGGCTCCATCTAGGAAAAAATAGCTGCAAAAACATTGGTAGCAATGAATAAAAAGTTCTTAATAACACTTTGGCTGCAATCACGCACACGGCATAATCCACTTTCAAACCCATTTACATGCAATTTCCAACTGGATTCTACTGTGTGAACTGGCAAAATCCACTTGGAAAGTGCATTGAAAGTGGGTTATTTAGTGGCTTCCGGTCGAGCTAAGATGGAGGACTGACGCACTTTCACTTTTGTGCGAAGTGGACGACGGCCGCTTTCGACAGTTTGGGCAGTTTCTAGCCCAACGCATCGCTCCCCAGCGAGGGGGGGGGACAAGCAGGCAGCAGCGCCTAAGAGGGAGTGTTAGGTTGGCGTGATTCCGCTTCGGAAGAAGCGGAAACAGGCTTTGATCTCCTCCCGCGAAGAAGGCAATTGCCGAGCAACTCTCCAGCAGCCGTTCGGGCCGGTGTACCGGTTTAAATTCTCCATCAGCCGACCTCTTGAAGATGGGCAACAACAGTGAGTGAAAAGAAGCAATGCGAAACCCGTTTTGATCGCGTAGATAACAATAAACGTGCCGCTTACCTGAACTGTGATAAAACCCAAATTGAATTAAGCGGTTGAGCAGATAAAGAATTAATATTCCCAGAACTCTGATTCCGGCAAAGAAATAGTTGATTGAAGGCTATTAAATAGCAAAAAAGCATATTGTTTAACATTCCTGCGGTGAGACCGGAGATGTGCGCGCAGCTGAAAAACCGAAACTGACGAACAGTATCGCGGGAAGAGTTAGGTTGGTGTAACCAGCAAAGCATTCCGAGTGGGCTGAACAGGTAGACGACATCCTAGAAGGGTAACAACGACATTTTGAGGAGGACTTTAACTTAATTTGATTTTTAAAGACCTTTTAGAAGATTTTTGAAAGCGCAAATAGACGCATTTGGACAATCGAAAGCTTATCTTCTAGAAGAAACAACTTGTTGTGTAAGTTTGCGCACCGCAGAGAAATCGCCAAAACGGAGACCAGAAGGGCACCGAAACGAACCAATTCTGACCCTGACGTTCAACCAGTTGTGAGACCAAGGACAGGCTCAACATCAACCCCTAAAATGTCAAAAGAGAGGGAGAAGGATAAGAAAGAATTGTATGCAGCCATGGAATTGATGGAGAAAAGAATGATGGAGGCGATTCAGGCCATGGGTGAGCAGATTGAGAAAAGGTTGGGGGTGCAAGAAAAACATATGGAGCAGCAACTGGAAGAGCAAATGGCAAAGCAAACTCAGATACACTTGAAACAAATTGAAGAAGCCCAGGAGAAAAATGTAGCAGCATTAAAAGAATTGGTTACAACAGAAATTACTTCAATCAAGCAAGAATTAGATGGAGTCAGAAAAGAAATACAGGCTAGTGCAACCAAAACTACAGAGACAGAGGAAAAAATGCAACAATTGGAAGAGAAACAGGATTCTTTGACTCAGCAATTTAGGAGATCTGAAACAATGATGGAGTTCAGAAGAATGCAAACTCATTTGAGATTTAGAGGTATCAAAGAAAAAGAGAATGAAAACATAAGAGAGGAAATGATAAAAGCGATCACTTTGTACTTGGAAGAGGAAGAGGGAACAATGGAAGCAGATTTTGATTTGATATACAGAGTGAACTCCAGAATTGCGGAAAAGAAAAATTTACCAAGGGATGTAATTGTACAATTTGTAACAAGAGCAACAACAGAAGACATCTTTAAGAAACAATTTACCGTCCCGTTCGAAATTGAAGGGAACAAGATCATGGTGATGAGAGAGCTCCCACGAGCAGTATTGCAAGATAGAAAAAGGTATAAACCTCTGGCTGACAAACTGAAGACCTTGAATATCAGATACAGATGGGAGATTCCACAAGGCTTATCCTTTACTTACAAAAGTGGGAGGGTCCAGATCAGATCGGTGACGGACTTATATAAATTTAAGGCAGACAATTTAGATGCCTTTGGAGAAATTTAACTTAAAATTTACAATGGATTACAAATTGTTGTCATGGAATGTGAATGGACTAAATTCACCAAATAAGAGAAAAAGAATCAATCATTGGATACAAAAACAAAACTGTAATGTGATATGCTTGCAAGAAACTCATATTAGAAATTCCGATACTAAATATTTAAAAAATGTCAAATTTGGATTAGAATTTTATTCTTCGGCCTCAAACAAGAAAAAAGGAGTTGTGACATATGTGAAAAAGGATTTACAACCTAAAGAAATTTTTAAAGACTTGGATGGAAGATATGTGGGTGTGGAAGTTTTGATCCAACAGAAAAAGACATTGGTGATCAATCTATACGCACCCAATGGAGCAAAAGAAAAATTCTTTAAGGACTTAACTGAACATCTACAAGGACAAACCTATGAACAAGTCATTTTGGTCGGAGATTTTAACGGAACTGTGGACCGTTTGGATAGAAGATCACAAAAAGGCAACGAAATTAGTGGAAAATTGCCAAAGAACTTTTTTGAAATAGTCAAGCAGGAAAAACTAGAGGATGTATGGAGGAAATGGAACCCGACGCAGAAGGATTTTACTTTTTATTCCAATAGACATTGCTCTTTTTCCAGAATTGATATGATTTGGATGTCAGAAGAATTGTCAATGAAAACACATAAAATTGAAATTTTGCCAAGATGTAATTCCGACCACAACCCTGTTTTGTGGACTTCTATAGAAAGGAACAAATCCTTTCTTTGGAGAATTAATGAAGATTTGTTGGATAAAAAAGATGTAACTGAAATGTTAAAGGAAGAAACAAAGCAATTTTTCCAACAAAATCTGAATAAAGAGACCCCAATTCAGGTGGTGTGGGATGCGTATAAAGCAGTGATGAGAGGGATTCTCATCTCTCAAAATGCGAAGCAAAAGAAGGAAAAATTTCAAAAACAAACAGTAGTGTTGGAAAAAATATCACAAAAAGAAAA